AGCGAGGCGGGACGGCACGGTGGGAGGGGTGTTACAGAGCACCGACCCAGAGGAGGACATGGATGAAGCCTTCTCGAAGCAGTTGGAGGAAGTATCCTCAGTATCCTCATGGGGGACCCTGGTCCTCAAGGAGGGGGCTTGAACTTCCCCGGTATCAGCTGGAAGGGTGACATGGCAGGACACAAGCCATCACGGATGTTTTTTTTTGGGAGGGGGGTGTCAGGGGTGACTTCTAGATGCAGGTACTGGATGGGTCAACCTTGGGAGATACACAGTGAGGTCTGCTGGTCACTGACAAGGAAGCGCTGCCCGGGGATGTTACTAGCAGCCTTGGCTGTAGCAGCCATGAAATAGTGGAGTTCAGGCTCCAGAAGGGAGTGAGGAAAGTGCCTAGCTGAGTGCAAACCAGCATATTCATGAAACTGGTTTTGCCAGGGGGAGGGGGAAATCCCATGGGAAGGGTGAAGGAGCTCAGGAAAGCTGGCTGGTCTTTAAGCGCTGCATCCTGCAAGCACAAACGTCGTCATAGGACCACAGAGTGGCTGAGGCTGGAAGTGACCTCTGGAGATCGTCTAGTCCAACCCCCCCCGCTCACAGTGCAGTCAGCTACCGCAGGGCTGTGTCAGTCACGTTTTGCACATCTGCAAGGATGGAGCCTCCACAACCTCTCCGGGCAACCTGCTTCGGTGTTTGTGACCCTTCACAGTAAAGACACTTGTTCTTATGTTGAAACAGAATTTCCTGCCTTTCGGGTTGTGCCCATTGCCTCCTGTCTCATCGCTGGGCACCACTGAGAAGAGCCTGGCCCCAAAGTCCCCTCTGCAGCCCGCCTGCAGAGCCTCCGCGTTGAGAAGATCCCTTTGGAGTCTTCTCCGGGCCGCACGGGCCCAGCTCCTGCTGCCTCTCCAGGCTCCAGCATGTTTGCCGATGAGCTGGAGGAGGCGGCAGCAGAGCACTTGCTCATCAAGTTTGAGGATGACACCAAATTAGGGGTGGGGTGGGGGAACACAACACAGATCAGTCCATTGGCTTGAGGGCAGGACTGCTGTCCCACCGACCCCGATAGGCTGGAGGAAGGGGCCAGCAGGAACCTCACCAGGACAAACGCAAAGCCCTGTCCTGGGAAGGACGAACCCCGGCAGCGATAGGGGCTGGGGAGCAGCGCTGCTGGAAGGGGCCTGGGCATCTCAGTAGACACAAGCTCAACGTGCGCCAGCAGTGGGCCCTGGCCACCAGCATCCCGGGCTGCACAAACGGGACCACAGCCAGGAGATAGAGGGAACTGGTGATCTCCCTTTACTTTGCACTTGTTAAGACCATGTCTAAAGTACTGTGTCCAGTTTAGGGACGCCCCCACCTCCCCTCCCATACAGGAAAGACATTGATGAATGGGTCATTTTAAGTGAAGAACTTGTGTTCCTTCCCATTCTTGCGTTCAAGTATCTTACTAACAGATGGAAGTTGCTGTAACTAAGCAGGATTTAACAGCAGCTGTACAGTTCACTTCTTTAGTTGGCAGATGTGCTGACTAGTGCATCTAATTACTAGTACTCATCAGTGGACTGATCTGTCACTTGCTTTAGCAGGCAGTTATAAATTACCTCTTCCAACTTCACTTTCCTTTTTTTAATTAGAAATTGTGATGAGGCGGGAACAAGAACAGGCAATGAAATAAAGAAAATAATGGTCAGCGTGGAACAGACTGTGTTTCACAGATGCAGTAACCAGCTTCACAAGAAGGAGAGAAGTCAATACATGTCCAAGTAATTGTATCTACTGGAATAAATATTCTTGCCAGGCTGCTAGTAGCACAGCAGTTAGAGTGCCACTTTGTCTTGTACTATGGCCTACCACAAAGGCTTCCACGCTTTGTTTCACTGTCTCCAACAACATGGCATGCTGTGCCTGTTCCTCGCATTCCTCCATAACAAAACCTTCTCTCTCCAGCAGGAAGCTGCAAACAATGGCAAGCATGGTTCTAAGGCAAAGAGGTTTTGTCAGACAATTTTCTTAGGAAATAAATGTCTTATGAGTATGTACAAATGAATGCATATATGTAACCGATACTGGCAAAGCACGTGATCTAAGCTGTGACCAGAAGAGATGGCTTGGCTAATCAAGCGGATTGCAGCTGCCAAGAGGGGAAATCTCTACCTACACTTTCGTATTTGACCGCATAGAGACAATTTAGCTTGTTAATCCAGTAAAAAAAACCAAACAAACCTCTCTCTCCCCACCCCTTTTATATGTCCACACAGTTCTGCATAGCACTCCCACCGAAAGCCAGCACTCCTGACACCAGCAGATGGCACGCCATGTTTCAGGAGTGAGCCATTTGATTAATCACGGGCTGTTCCCCGTCACCTACAGCAATTAAATGGCTGCAGAGCAAGCTGCAACAAGGCAGTCCTGAAAAACTAGTGTATTTGTTATTGTAGGTTAGTTTTAGCTGGATCAACATGCTCACCTGGGTCACCCAGTGACCACACGATTGCTAGATCTGAAGCAGAGAAGCAGCAGAAACCTCAGCAACAGCTGAGGAGAAGGGAGGAAAGAAAGACAGGATCACCCTTTCAGATGGCAGTCTGGTCCTACATCAGCTTAAACCAACAGGGAAAACACACTCTCAGAAACCAGCTATTCACAGGAAAAATGATGCCGGGGGGTTCTAGTGGGAGTCCAGGGCTGGTATGAGGCTCAGTGCAATATGCACATTTCCACAATTTCCTAGGGAATGGGAGATCTACTAAAGAAGTTATTATACACTTGCCCTCTTACACACTTCCCTTGGCATCTGCTACTAGCCACTGCTGGGGACAGAACAGAGTAAGAAGGGATGTTGGTCTGGTTGGTACAGGCATTTGTATGTTCCCAGCAACTGGAACAGACCAAAACAGACCAAGATTTTCATTGCTGAAAAGCATCTGGCTGCTACAAATCAAAAGAATATCCTCATCTTTACATACCACAGCAATCTTACCATGTGACATCTGGGCCACTGGGGAAGCTGGGCCCATTACAACTAAATAAGCTTTAATCACAGCTCAGTGCAAATGTATACATCTGGGAAAGAGGAGAATTCATTCTGGAAAGCAGTGAACAAGCAACTCCACAAATGCTAGGACAAAAAGGCAGAACAGCCCCTGGAGGGATATAAGAGAACAGAAGGTACAAGAGAAAAAGGAGACAAGTTGTGAAACAGGACACAGCCTATAGGTCAGGAGTGTGGCAATGCCATGCAAGGCTGGGTCTTTGCTTCTGTTTGCATTACACCGAGCTTATAATACTTTTCTTGGCCTGTGCAGACCATGGGCAAGTTTCAACCACACTGGACAGCCAAAGCAGGACATACCTACCACCACAGAAGTGATTTAAACTTTCCTTAGCATCCTGCATCCAGCAAGACTCTCTCCTTCCAAGATGGATCAAATCAGCTAGCACAAAGGTTAAGTAAGTGGGAGGAGCACAGCACAGCTCTGAAGCAGAGGTCTGCCTACCTATGGATGATACCCAAGGCTTTGTAGATGGCCACTCGCCCGCTGCCCTCTTTCGACTGCCCATCCCGTTTGTCTTTGGCGTACATGTTCTTCTCCGAGAAGTTACAGCCCGTGAAGTCAAAGTGAGGCGAGTTCAAGGAGATGAGTTTAGGGAACAGCATGTTTTCTACCTATGATGCACAAAGATGACAGGTGACTTTGGGCAGAGCCCTTTGCTGTTTGCTGTGCTCCAACACAAGCAGCACCACACTCTAGGACGCAATGGGATGTTGGCCGAGGCTGGGCCCAGTCTGCCCGCTTCCAGCCTCTCTCAGACTCTAGCCCTACCTGGAGAACATCTCCTGCCCCTGCCTGCCCTCATGGCCCATCTACAGCAGGGAGAGGCAGCCAGCTGGGTGGCTCTCCTACCAGACTGCTCTCAGAGGTAGTGAGGAAGAAGTAGGAGGAGCCCAGCAGCACAGCTCCTCCTTACTCTCCTCATCTGTTATGAGAAATAGGGGCAGCTTCCCTGTCCTCCCCATGACAATTCCAGCTGGAGATAGGCAAGACCTGCTGCAGGTGCCCCAGGCAGAAGCCTGGGAGCAGAGAGGAAATCCCATGGAGCACCAAAGACAGCTAGGGCAGAATCACTTTTGAGGCACCCAGCCCAACATCCCCTTCTGGGATACATGTCCTGTCCCCCATCTGTGTGCCAGCCCCTGTCCTAATGCGGAGCCCAGTTTCTAGTGTGACTGTGAGACTTCCCATCCTCTTCTCCCAGCAGAGTGGGAGGCAGCATGCAGGACCCTGGGGAGGGGGAGGAACAGTGGACAGATCCCAGACTGCCCAGGATCCTGGTGCTCATACCTTCTGCCCTCACCTGATCATTTTCATCATTGAAACTGTTGCCGTACATGAAGCAGCCACGCTTGGAGGCATGTCCATGAAGATCTACGTAATAGGCCAGCCCACTGTCCTGGGGCAGAATGGTTTCTGGGAGAGATGTTGATGGAGGCCTCTTGGCTTCCTCCTCACAGTGCTCCACGGTGTGGTTAGAAGGGAGAATCCAGACAGCTTGGTCTTTGTTCCCCAGCTCGGTGGCAGGCACTCCTGATGGCTGGGGGTCCTGAGAAGGGCTGAAGTAAGTGCTGGCTTTCCAGGTGCTGGATGAGTTACGGAGGTTATTGGCTTTCTCCAGCTCAGACAAAGGTGCCTCCGTGGACAGGGCACTGCTGCGAATGGAATGATTGGAAGATTTTGTGCTTAGCGAGCTGGTGCTCAGTGGGGAGACATACGTCCTCCAGTCAGGAGAGCCTGGCAGAACACGGCTGTGAATGTGGTGATAAAGGAGCACAGCTTTGGCCCCATATACTGCAGGGTGCAGCTCAGCATCAGGGTTGAGATACTGACGGTTCAGGTTTACCCCACGGGAGTCCGTTCTGCAGAGAGAGAAAGCAGAGATGTGAGGTCCTTTGCACACTGCTGTCTGTTCGGTAAAGGCAGACCTGACTTAAGGCATTCGGCTGCTGTTAGATTCTCTACCCCACTTCCAGAGTGCCCTGAAAGCTGCTCTAGCTGCCCCTGTACCACTGCAGCCTTCATGGACAGCAGGGTATGGTTCTTGTTCTCCACTCCCAGCTGAGCCCCACGCAGTCTCAGGGTGCAGGTCATGACGAGAGCCCCTCAGCTACGCTCACAAAACAATTCCCTGGTGCGGTTCTACAACACCAAACGGGAGCTGCTGCAGTCCCACCATCCAGCTGAACCACAACTGCCACCTCTGCTGCCAGCCACGCAATCCCTAACTCTCATGCAAGCCCTGGTGCTTATCAGAACACTCTCCACACAGATTTGACTTGCGAACCCAGCAGCAAAGACTTCATTGCTGTGTATCAAGTCAGTTTTCCCTTGCCAAACTAGCAAGGGAGGGATCCAACAAGAGCTAGCGCTGGGAGCAGAAGAGGA